ACGACAGAATGATGAAAGGTAAATTTCAAAATCTCCAAGTAAAGCTCAGAAAGAGACTGTTTGCTTTTGATGTCCACTCCACTCCGACGGGAAAAGAGGTGTTCATCCGGTCAATTGCACCGTCGATCCCTACCTACTTAATGTGTGTTTTAAACTTCCGTTGGGAACTTTGTGATGATTTAAATCAGATGGTACGGAATTATTATTGTGGAGCTGAGAAAGGTAAACGCAAGAAGCACTGGTATCTGTGGGATAAAATGACAAGGCCAAAGTCTGTTGGGGCCTAGGTTTTAGAGACTTCCGGCTGTTTAACCAAGCGCTACTTGCAAGGCAGGCATGGAGATAGATTGCATTCCCAAATAGTCTGTGTGCTAGATTATTGAAGGCTTAATACTATCCAAGTGGCAGATTTGAGGACACAATTTTTGTTGGTAACCCCTCTCCAACATGGCAGGCCATCAATTACGCGTTGGACCTATGGAAGAAAGGGCCTGTATGGAGGATTGCCAATGGACAGTGTGCGTATTTGAAGAGATAGATTGGTTGTGCGAGGGACAACGGGTAGCCTCATTTGTCATAAGGGACGGTGTATGCTAAAGTGGGTGTCCGAGCTCTTGGATCACAATGGAGCTTGGGACCTCACAAAACTACATCAATTCTTTCTGCCCGTGGACATAATTGAATATTTGAAAATCCGACCATCACCCCGTTTTGGTGAGGACTTCCTAGCCTAGGCACCATAAAAAGCAGGTGTGTTTACAGTACAAAGCGCCCACAAACTTGCTTCTGATGATGTACATAACAACTCTGTTGCAACCTCTAGCGGGCGTGCTGGCAATCATAAGGGCTGGAAGTGCATCTGGTCTACTCCGGCTCAACCAAAGGTACTAAATTTCGCTTGGAGACTAGCTACAGATCCTTGCTACTTGGAAAAATAAACAAAAAATACAATCTGGAGATTAGTGTGAAGAGGAAGATTCATTCCATACTTTCTGCTATTGCATCAATGTGAAACGCTAATGGAAAGCAATGTCCACTGAATGGGATCTTCCAGAGGTCACCAATATCCTTCCCATGGGCAGAGGATGGTTTGTTCAAGCTATCTCTGATATGACTGAACCTATCCAGATTTGGTTCATGCTTCTTTGGTTGACCTGGATTGTTCAGAACGAGATAGTCCACCACAAACCTACACCTCCAGCTGATGTTTCCTGCCGCTTTCTATCTAGCTACGTTGCCTCACTGAACTCCATTGTTGCAAATCCTAGTGCTGACCATATGATAGAGGCAAAGGTGTCCCGATGTTTCGATGAGATGGTGGCTATCGTTTTCTATGGGAGTCAACCTTGACGATCCGACTACGAACGTGCGAGACGTCGCGCCTTAGCAATCGCTAAACCAACTTCCGAGGGTTATTGACCATGCCGGGGCACGATCAACCTGACCACGAGGGTCTGTTTCCTGCGAGCAAACGAAGAACAAGCAAGAAACTGAGATTGCAATCTGGATATTGTGAATATAAGAGGAAAGCTTTATTAATGAAGGTGGGATTCTGTGATGTCTTGGTCTGGTCGTTGAACACAAACGAAGTACGCGAAGTTGCAGCTATGGCAAACTTTTAATCTAAACAAAACCCAAAGTCTAAACGACGCCCTAAGGGCTGTATATATGGAGGAAGAGGGGGGAATTTCATGGCCCTTGAGGGAGGGGTAAACCAACCCTAACTCTTATTTCCCCACACATACGGACTCTAAAAACAACCTATAATCAAGTATTTCGAAATTACATGGGCCTGACCCAATAATAAGGTGACGCAACACCTAGAATAGCTTCTGGACGAAAACTATGAAGTAGCATCTTGTATATTTCGTCCAAGGCTTCATGCATTCATTATGGTGGCTTCCACGTCCTGGAATCATCACTTGTAACTCCGTTCTTGTTCCCCTTGTGCATGCCATCATCTCCATGCTTGTTCTTGCTCCAATGTTCATCCTTCTCCAAACTAGACCCTTCATTTGTAAGCAAAACAAATGTATCCAATTTAGGCAGCATCATATTCTCATGAACATTAGAATTATTACCAAGAAACGAAAAAACCTGGTAATTTAATTGGCATGCACGAGCTCTAGTAATTGATCCAGTAGGTATAGCAGCAGGGGATGTGGGTCTAACAATGGTATTGATGTCCTCGTCACCATACAAAGGGGAAGTTCCCAGCTCAAGTTTCTTTCCCTTTGGTGGCACCCACATGTGATATGAGGCATCAAGAACACAGTCCTTGGTCTCCACCACGGCTGGACGAGTGAAGCTCAACATGAGTTAAATATGATGCCCATGATCCTTACTCCTTAGGGACCAAAGTGGCAGCATCATATTTAACTCATGCAAATATCTTTTTTGTTGTGATGATGTGCTTGAAACCGAGATTTTGGGCATCCGAGAGGGCCTCTTACTCGCTTTGCAATGGAGTGATCTACCTATTGATGTTCAATCAGACAGTTAAAAGCAGTACAGATGATTCAAGAGGGAGATGAAAATAGATCTAAATATGCCTTTTTAATAAAAGAGATCAAAGAAGGTTTGATCGGGTATAATTCTAGTATTACTCATATTGTTCGTAGCAAGAACAACGCTAGTCACCTCCTGTCAAGTTTTGGGCGATCACAATGCCGAATTATCGTGTGGCTTGGATCGGATCCGGATGAACTCCTCAACATTGCCAGTGGTCTTTGAGTGTTGAATAATACAAGTATTATCCTGCAAAAAAAATGTTGCAAAACCTCTATCTGTCAACCAGTATGCATTTTCGTCTGGGTTCCTCTAGACATCAACTTTTCATCTGCCCGGTGATCTGAACAATGAACATAGCTAGGCGACGACCGAGAGTGGCGTTTTGGCACATGGGAGCGCGCACTCCTGGTTTTTAAAATATGTTATAAACATTTTTTGAAATGTCAAAAAATTCCAAACAAAAACTTGGCGTGTAAATCTCGATATTGTACATGCTCACAAAGTTGTTTCGTGAAAAACCGATGTGAAAAAGATAAAATCCGGTGTTAAAATATGCTTTTCATAAGACATCCTTTTGTCTTTTCTACACAAGTCACAAAAAATATCGGTTTTCTCTGAAACTTGACGCGCACACATATAATGTTGAGATGCATGCGCCAAATTTTTGTTTGAAATTTTTTCACACTTTAAAATATATTTTTCGCGTGCAGGAGCGCACGCGCGGTCCCAGGAGCACCAACGAATTTCCGGGCGACGACTGGATTACTTTCAACCGCATGGACCTGATCAGACACTGAACATGTAGCCAGACAACGGTACGCAGAGCTCTGCACTTTCAAGGAACCGTAGCGCGGCGCCAAAGCTTCCACGCGATTTCGCACACCAAAGCCAGAAGATCGCGGCAGAAGCACAGACCATCCGTTCGATTGGCTCATGCATCATGCATGCATGCGTGATATCGATTGGACTACCGCTAAGGTCGTCGGTGATCTCCAGAACCACCTAGAGGATCAAGATGAACTCTGGTAATACATGTGGAGCCGTAACACCACAGGGAACTTCTCAGCGGATTCGTACACACATACACAAGTACATGCCACGTATCTGAACCTGTGTGTGGTGGCCAACGCATCGCAGCAGCAGGTAGCCACACATACATATAGCCTCGAGAAACGACTTTCGGAAGCTGATGCCACGCGTTGGTGCGGTTCTTGGGAATTAGGGGAGGCTGACTTGTCTCTGAAAGCATGCTCTTTCCACACCACACACAGCCTCGATCGAGAATCAACTTCCCGAAGGTGATGCCACGTCGCCACGCGTGGTGTAACTTATTCGCCGGCTGATACGATTCTTCATTCCTGAGGTTTGCTTGGAGAGGGACAGGCTCGGCCGATCTTCCATTGTTCCATCGATCCATGCATCTAGCTCAGCTCGCTCCACCTCTGGAAAATGGCCTTCTGACCCGTTCGTTCGCGCCAGGCTACCCAGCCAACATCGAAGGTTCAACAAGGACAAGTCACAACGTCCAAGGTCCAGGTCCGAAATAGACTTTTAGTTACATCACATCAGCCAGAATGCTTATATATACTGAGCCGATGGGTTGGACTGGGGAGATCCAAAAATGGAGCGCGCGCTGGCCGTCGCCTTGCTCGTCATGCTCACGCTCTGGAGCGTGCCGGTGGCGGCCGGCGACGGAGGCATTTCCGTGGCGCCGGAGGCGTGCCGCCTGGACCGGCTTCCCCGTGGCTCACCCGGAGACGCTACAACGGCTGGTAATTAAATACAGTTGTGCTTTCAGTTGAACCGTCAATATACTCCCTCCGTTTCTAAATATAAGTCTTTTTAGAGATTTTATTGACTAGATACGGATCAAAATGAATGAATCTACATTCTAAAATGTGTTCATATTCATCCGTATGTAGTTTGTAATGGGAGAGAGTATATACTAGTGGTTTTTCTTGGAAACGTTCAAGTTGCGGTAGCCGCCCGATCATGAACCGCGCAACAGAGATCATGAACCCTCAATATTCACATTGATGAAGTTTCAGTGTTTATTTAGGGAAAATTCGACTCAAACACTAGCCAGAAGAGCTTTGTGAAAGAAATGTCGTTCTTCGAACAACATTAATTTTTTTATTTTGAGCGAAACAACCTTAACTTAGAGATTTTCTTTTTGAGGGAACCTTAACGTATTGAGAGTTGTCCGGGTATAGATTTTCTTTTGGGGGATGTCCGGGTATAGATTTTGACACCCTTTTCGATAATTAAAAGGACTGTGCTAACGTCCAGTCGACTGGACGTTAAGAAACAGATCCACACAATCGGTGATTAGTAAATCAACTGCATATGAAGAGAGCGATTGTGACTTTGCATGCCCAGGAGTGAGCTGCGAGGTGTAGTCACTCCATTTTTAAACATGCATGCATATAACAACAAAACAGATGACATCAACAAAGATTCTTTCGTAATTTAAACTTTAAAATGTTTTGTAGCTCAAACCGTCGCTCGGATTTAAAAACTGCTTTCACATAAAAATCACCGCGACGAGACCTTCAAAACTAGATCCCATGTTGACATGTTTCAACGACATTTTTTTAGTACAAAGTTACCACGGATGTGCTACACAAGTTATCATGTCGGTTGTGTATCACTTATCATGTTGTTTACACATAAATTATCAGGACATAAAAAATAGTTCTTGTAATCTTCCCTTCACATGCACATGGAGGCATGCATTAGAAAGAAAAAACTGATGCATCCTGGATTGTATATAAAAAAATTGTCTGTCTAATCAAAAAATCGTTTTCACATAAAAAATCCATTGCGACAAGACCTACAAAACCAAATCCCATGTTGATATGTTCTGACGACTTTTTTGTTTGCAAGTTATCAGGCCTAGGCCAAGAAAGTTATGAGCTCTCATGTTCGTATATTATCATGATTTTTACACATGATTTATCGTGATACGTTCTTAATTATGTTTCTCAGGACAAAGTTATCGCGGTGTTTGTGCATGAGTTACCACACTTGTCATCCGTACATTACCACGCCATTTACACATAAGTTATCGATGATATGTTTCAAACAACTTCCCCTCCCCATGGGGTCAAAGTTACCGCGGTGTTTGTTTGTAAGTCGGGTCTGCGGTTCGTATATTATCATGTTTACACAGAAGTTACTGATGCATATTTTTAACAAGCTTTTCCACCGGGTTAAAAAGTTAGCACGTTGTTTGTACTTTAGTTATCATGTCTATGGTGCATATATTACCATGTTCTTTCCACAAAATTTACCAAGGGTATGGTTTCAAACAAAAAACTCTCTTGGTAAAAGTTGTCCTGATGTTTGTGCGTAAGTTACCATGTCCGCAATGAGTATATTAACATGCTATTTCCATGGAAATTATTGGGCGTATGGTATCGACAACTACTTTTTCTCTTGATCAAAGTTACCACGGTGTTTTTGCGTGAGTCATCACGCCGAGGTGTGTATATTACCATGCTATTTAAGTAGAAGTTATTGGGGTATGTTTTCCATAACTTTCTCACCCGTTTCAGAAAGTAAACACGACGTTTGTATGTGAATAATCAACTCTACGGTGCATACATTAGCATTTTATTTACGCGTAAGTTATCAGAAATGTTCTCAATAACTTTTTTCTCTCGGGTCAAAATTATCACCGTGTTTGTGCATAATCTATTAGGTTTGTGGTGTGTAAATTATCAATGCTTATTACACATAAGCTACGAGGGGATGGTTTCAAACAACTTTTTTCCCTCGCGTAAAAGTAAACAATGTTTGTGCATGAGTTTATCAGGTCTGGGATGTGTAAATTATCATGCTATTTACACATAAGCTACCGAGGGGTGTATTATACCGCATGTAGCCCATGCTGATAACTATAGTCCATCTAGCATGGTAACTACGTAATAACCATGTTGATAACTATAGTACATCTAGGCCGATAACTACGTAGTAACCATGTTGGTAACTATAGTACATCTAGCCTGGTAACTACATAATAACCATGTCGTGGGATGGTGCATCTTGTCCATTCTTCAAAAGTTAGATGCAGGACGGACGTTGGAGATTCCTAATCTACTCAATCCCTCTCAAATCAAGTGCACACTAAAGTATCGTTTTCAGAAATCAGATCATTAATTGAACATTTTTTTCTCGATCTAAGATTATTTCCTATGAATCCTCGTCATCGCGTGTTTACGTAAAGATAAAAACGAATAAGAAAGAAATAGGGGGACGAGAGAGTGATGGAGATTCCTCAAAGAAAAGAGAAAAATAAAACATTATGGAATGGTCAAAAGAGTGCGACGTGCTTCCTTTTACACAACAATTAGTCTAATTGAGCTGGCTAGTAAGTGTTTCATGTAAGCTGCTTGCTGTGGGTTCGAATCCTATATTGAGAATCAATTTTCCTGACTAAAAAATCCCTGTAAATAGGGTCTATCAATAGATCTAGCGCACAGAAAAAATCATGATGGACCCAATCCAGAGAGAAAATCACGGACATCAACATTTCAGGAAGTCTTTCTACTAAATGCGCCATCACATTAGCAACTTCTTCAGATTTTTAATCTCAAAAAAAGATCCACTACGCATTTAAATTAAGAGAGTTCACAGATTTAATAACTACCATGTCTGGGTGAGATGGTTAGTACGGTGACGTGCCTACAGGACGTCGGGGGTTCGATTCTCGTCACCCCCTTTCTTTTTCTCGCTTTGAAGCTGTTGTTAACTGCCGTTCGATTCGGAATGAACGAGATCCAGATCGTTCGGATCTGATGCAAACTGCCAGTCGGCAGGAATTTAGTATTCTCGTAATTAAAAACCTTTTTGGGTATAGATTTTGATTCAGTTTTGTCTCAGAGGTGTTTTGGGCCTGGTCCATGGGGATTTAGCATAAGCCCATTTATGGGCATCCATATTTTATAGGGCCAATCTTGGGCCTAAACCGAACGCATCCTAGATCCCTGGCCGCTATCTCCAGCCTTTCCGCCGACCGGCGCAACGGCGGCGAGGTCGCCGTTCGTCGGAATGACCTCCCGTCCGGCCCCCCACCGTCTGCGGGAGTCGTACGATGGAGGGGATCGCTGTTGCCAATGGGGCAGAAGATGGACTACCTTCTTCCAGGTAGATGCAGTGCAGGCCCCTCGCCGCACCTGCGACGGGCTACCTCCTCTCCTCAACCCCAGGTGAGGAACTCCAAACCAGATCCGATTCCAAATAAGGCCGAGGAGGTTCGCTGTTGCCAATGCCGAGGCCTTGTCCACTCAGGGGCCTTCATCATGAAAATTACTAACCAAACAAGGGGACCGATGTGAATATTGTAGTAGTGCAGAACTGACTGGGAAAGGTAACTGTTTAATCCCACACATTTAAGCATAAGTTGCTGTGCATATCTAAGATTTGATGAAACGTAGAACATGTCTCTGATTTTAGCTCGGTTGACTGTAGGTCTATCAGATAAAAAGCATGTTTCGCCCCTTTTTTTGTTCTGCCATGACAAAAATTTCTCCTATAATTCCTTGTTAGATGGACAATATCGACCATTTCAGATCGTCGAGGTGGAAAGTAGTACATACTGTCTGTGGTCCACATTCATTTTACACTGAATTGTATTGCCCATTTTGTACCACTTTGATATTAAGCCAAAAGAAAATTCGGTTTGTACCACCAAGTAACAGGCTTGTGTTTTGCATGTGTGGTAGCACGTATAGCAATAGGAGGAAAGAATGTTAGATCGAACTACGTATCCAAACATGAGAACCAAGTTAATCTTGCAGGTCACTTAAAAACATGTGGTTTTCCTTTAAGTGTGTGAAGAAGTGCTAAGCTATATTCTGCTTACCTTAAACACTCTCATGCTTTAGTCATATTGGAGCAATTAATTTTAATTTTGTGCTATGGAGCTCTCCTTTTTCCCATACAACTTGAGAACATTGTCTTGGCAGTCGGATAAGGTACTAAAACTTGTGTTAATCCAGAAATCGGGAGAATGAACAACAGAATACTATCGGGAAGAGACACAGGAGCTTTGACCATAGGCTATGTGAAGGAGCTCAAGGTTGCTGTGCCTAAAAAACCGGGGTTTAAAGCTTTTGTGAATGCAACTTCTCATAATGCCAGTGGCTATTGCATTGATATCTTTGAGGCTGCTGCGAAGAAACTACCACATGTTCTTCATTATGAGTTCGTTGCCGTTGATGGTTCTTATGACGAACTAGTACGCAACGTGTCTTCGGGGGTGAGCCTGGCTCCTTTCACTTGCATGCCATTTCTGCATTTCGTGAGAATCACATAACTCACACTGTACTTTGTTGGTTCTTACAACCAGAACTACGATGCAGTAGTGGGTGACATAACTATAACCGCAGCGCGAGCTGTAGACGTGGACTTCACGATGCCATACACTGAGTCAGGCGTGTCACTGCTTGTGCTCACCGAGAATGACTCCAAGTCAGCAATTGAATGGGTGTTCCTAAAGCCACTAACAACACAACTTTGGTTAGCACTTATGGGGGGATTCTTCTTCACTGGACTTGTTGTGTGGACGATCGAGTGGCCCAGAAACCCGGAGTACCAAGGATCGAGTTTGAGACAGTGCAGCACTGCTCTCTACTTTTCTTTCTCGACTTTGACATTTTCTCATGGTTAGCAGGCTCAAACTTGCTCACAGTACTTGATGCATTATAAGTGGTTACATACCTTACATTATGTCCGGAGTACTCTAATCTATTGATTATCGTAATATCTGCACAGGTCAAATTATTAGAAGCCCCCTGTCAAAAATTGTTGTGGTGATATGGTGCTTTGTTGTGCTGGTTATAGTGCAGAGCTACACAGCTAGCTTATCATCCATTTTGACTGCAAAGAGGCTCCGGCCCTCAGTGACAGATCTTGAGCAGCTCCGATCAAATGGTGATTATATTGGATACCAATCTGGATCATTTGTACGTTCTGTCTTGATAAAAGAAGGCTTCAATGTCAATAGGCTAAAGGACTATCCGAATAAAGAGGAATATGCTAAAGCTTTGAGGAAGGGATCAAAGAATGGAGGTGTCTCAGCTATCGTTGATGAGATCCCATATATAACCTCGTTTCTCTCTGACCCTAAATACATTAATGAATTCCAGATGGTTAATCGCATATACAAGACACCTGGACTTGGTTTCGTAAGCTTCTTACTCTAGCACTTCAGTAGATGCACTCTGCATCCTTACAATAGCTACACTGACAAAAACAATATTGTCTAACCAGCATCATGTTTTTGTTTTCAGGTGTTTCCTCAAAAATCTCCGCTGGTGCATGATCTTTCGGTTGCCATCCTGGACCTTGGGGCTGAGGGCTCACGAATTGAAAAGAAATGGTTAGGCACAGAAACACCATTGCCCAGCTATGGCATCCCCAACACGGACGCGACACCTCTCACTTTGCGAAGTTTCTCTGGTCTCTTCATCATCAATGTATGTATGTCAGCTCTCATGCTGTTGATAAGCATTGCCAAGTCGGTTCACGCCAAATACACCAAAGTGAGGGATTCTGATATGCAGAGTGCCGATGGAGATGGCAGAAGTGAAGGCCACAGAGGATTTGGTCCGCTGCAGAACGACATGGGCAATGGGTCTATGGCTGATCAACCCCACCATGAAGCCAGAAATGAGCATCCTCAGGGTGTCAGTGGGATCAGAGAAAGTCCTGGTGATGTAGAACCCAATGACTCTGTGCCCGAACACGCCATCCTAATCGAGATGAACACCCGATGAGATGCCGACAACTGTTCTGCATAGCGCGCATCAGATCAGAAGAAATGAAAAATACTTTCGTTCCGTCTTATGGGGATATTCACCAATGTCCTAAGGGTATGAGTGCAAGAATGGATGATGGGCCCATATCATAGCCTAGCTAGGAATAGCAGTTTCTGTGACTGATACCCAGATTAATTTATTTTCTGTATTTGATGTTGTTGTTGGTCTTATTTTCGAAAGAGTGTATATATGACCACTGACAGGCGAGTGCCAAGGTAATCCTAGTATCTGCCGGAATTAACAACATTTGTCTGATTTATACCTTGCGACAGCAGGCACACACTGTAGCCCACAGTTGTACATGTTGAAAGAAAGTTGGTCCACATTTTGGTTACTTTTGCACACTGCAAGATACTTGTCGTTCCTGT